AGGCCGTTCCCATCAGCCCCACCCCGGGCTCCTGCAGTCAGCCTCCCTGCGCAGCCATCAGGCCCGGGATCCTCACCCGCCGGCCAGGCTCACCTCTCCCCACCCTGGACGTCTTCGGGCTCCTCCGGGCCCTGTCCTGTTTGCACGAATCACCCTCCCTCCCCCTGGTCCTTCTCAGCCAAGCTACTGGAAACATCAATTTAAAAAGTCACCAGATGAGATCATTTTCTGAACCCTGGACCAGAGCCTCCTGCCTCCTGCCCGGCTGCCCGCACAACAGCCGGCTCTGCAGTGTGTGAGCAATCACACTGCCCAGTCAGACTGCCCAGCCTGGACAGACACGGTGACCCTGCAGGAGGTGACCAGGCGCTGGCTCTCTCCTGCCTCCATGTCACCGGGGCCAGCGGCCCCTGGTCCACTGATCCACTGTCCTTGCTGTCTTCACAGCCCAGGGCCTGGCAGGAGTGTTGTCCTCACCGCGTGTGCGGGTGGGGAAGCTCAGGCCCAGGCCCGAGGCCCGAGTGGGGTGTTGCCAGGGCTGGAGCCGGCTCTTCTGAAGCTCCCCCTGCCCCGTGTCGACCTGGGTGGGGAGTGAGGGCAGCACTGTGGTCCTCAGGGTGCAGCATGGCAGCACCAGGCACACAGCATTACCTGGTGCCCCAGACCAGCCCGAGTCCCGACCCCCAGACCTGTGAACATGGGAACTTACAGGTAAAGGAAACTTCACACACGTGTTAAGACTCTTGAGATGGGCAGATGGCCCTGGGGGACGGTTATGCTGTGGAGCCCAGTAATCACAGGGTCCTTACAGTGGGAGGCGGGGGGAGCGGGAGGGGGAAGGGAGAGGGGAGAGGGGAGAGGGGGCTAAATGTGATGGAAGGAGACCTGACAGGGTGGTGACATACAGCACAACGTGCAGATGATGTGTTGTAAGACTGTACACCTGAAACCTATACAATGTCATTAACCAATGTCACCCCAGTCGATGCAATAAAAATAACTTGTTTTAAAAGAGGGAGGCAGCCCTGGCTAGAGTGGTAGAGCATCGGCCCGCAGACCGAAAGGTCGCGGGTTGGATTCCCAGTCAAGGGCACATACCTGGGTTCACATACCTGGGTTGCAGGTGCAGGAGGCAACCAATCAATGTGTCTCTCTAGCATTGATGTTCCTCTCTCTCTCTCTCTCTCTCTCTCTCTCTCTCCTCCCTCCCTTC